CAACATGGCGGCACCCGGCCGGCTTCAACTTCCGGTCGATGGATTACCCCCTTGATGAGAACGGGCTGCATATTTTTTCCGAAATAAGGTCCAAGCCGGAAGCGGAGGGGAGGGACTTAGGCTGTCTATAGGCGCTTAGTGTTTATTTACAAAGTGACATCGCCAACTACTGGCCTGGCATGCATAATGCGTTTTTGGTCGTTTTTACAGATCCGTGTGAACAGGGATCCTATTGACAACATTGTTGTTTGTATGTGAAGGAAAACTTGTTTTGAGGAAATCATGAAAAAAAGTTTCAGATTTTCCTCTTCATCGGTTCAATTCCATGTCCGGAGGCAAATACACAAGTATCAAATAATTTACATATTTAAATCCTAAACATATATAGTTTAATTATGTAATTTAATAAACATTGTGACAAAAATAAATGTTTTTTTTGTTGCATTAGCTCATTTAAAAAATAAATTGAACAAACTTTTGAGTGTACGATGCTGCTATCATCAGTAAAATGTATAAAGTTTTGAGGGAAAATGAAAAAAATCTCAGACTTTGCTCAGACTATCCATATGTTCAATTCCATGTCTGGAGGCCAACACACAAGTAGGCTATATCCATTTCTTACATCCTATATTGCTTTATTCTCTGCTGCCCATGCAACCGATGATCTATTGCTTGTATATGGCCCTAGTCAAGCCGTTCCTGACACAAGGTGAAATTGTTCATCTTAAACTCATTTTTAACTCCATCTAAAGATAAAACCTCTGGCAATTGCAGAGTGGTTGCAAACAGTAGAACTGAAATATCTATTTACAGTTTTCACCGCTATCAACATTCTCATTTTAAACCATCCTTGTGTTGTTCAGGCCATAACATACTTTAGTTAAATGGGTCAATCTAAAACTAAAACTTTTCTATTTTTCTGCGATGTTAGATTACCTCAAAGTTTCTGTCATTTAAGATCAGCCACAGCCTGTCTAATTATGGAGAGACAAAGATAACCAGCCTCCAATGACAAGATCATCCCTTTATTATCACAGAGCTGTCATTTGAAACAATGCTTTTAAATAATTAGACAGTGGCACGTGCCTTTGATTCGACGAAGCCGTCTCAAATGGGATGGTTAACCAAAGCTAATAACCCCACAACCGCTCCCATGAGCACAGGCTGAAGGCTCGGCAGGATTGGGGTGAAAAGGCAGCGAATCAGGTCAGTTAGAAATGAACGTTTGTGACCCGCTGTCGTATCACGGCATCCCTTTGAGCAGACGAGAGCTAGAACAGATGATAAGTACAAAGGTTGGGAACTATCAATTCACACAGCACAGACTTCCTTTAATTAAAACAGTGAGCACTAGGTCTCTCCATGAGTATGATATGAGTCAGAAGACAAAACATTTGTAGAACTTAACCCAATGGACAGATGTAAACTTTTACAAAACAACGAAATATCCAGCAACCAGTTCAAAACAAAAAACAAAACAAAAAACCCCCTATTGATTATACCATTGGAACCCATTTCCAAGTAGTGATTAAAATTAATAACAATGTATTTTTTGGGGAATAATTCTCTTTAATGTGCAACGTTTAGTTACAGCTCTTTAATTATAGATTTGATAGATTAGGACAGACCCTGGATTCCTGATATCACTGCTACTCTTCGATGAGATAAAACACACAGAACAGCATAGTACACGTAATACTCATATAGGTTAATTAACATTGTGCTAGCAACTTGATAAAAATCACCTCATTTGATTTGGATAAGCTCAGTGCAGACAATGTACTTGTGATTGTGTGGTAACCTACATTAACTTACATCATTCATGTTGTAACCACATTCAATACCAAACCGACAGAACCAACAGAACACAGAGTATAAAAAGAATATATTTCCAGTTGTTCATTGTTGTTTGCGGGCAGCGAGTTATTCTCGTTTATTAGCCTGTTCGGTTAATTGATGGAATTTCAGACTGCCAGCCTCTCTGTGGTGTCTTTCTCCATCGCCTTTCCCCTCTCCCGCCAGGCTGTGAAGCCCTTGGCTCAAGGTGACCAGCAGCATCTGGGACAATTTGCAGCCCTGAAATGATGCTTCAGAGAAATGCAATGATATGAAGGCGTGACAGTGGACATGTGAGTAATTGTTGTATTGTGAGCGTGTCTGTAAATGCGTGCATTTCCTTTCCTCCTTATAGCCATTATGGAAAGAAAAAGAAAAGCAATGGACTGTGACAATAAAGAATTAACAGTAAATAACACAAAGTATGTTTGCAAGAAAATACTATTTCATTCTTTCTACTTTGAAATTTCATGTTTGATCCAATGTTTCTTTGTAATTAGTGAAAAAGTTGTTTCTACTCCATTTTTTCCCCCAGTGTTAAAGTCTATTAGCCTGACTTCGTCATACTCATATTCTAGTCAGAATGTGAGTCTGATACTGCTCCATAGGGCTTTGATTATGAGGCGTGTCTTAACCGAACCAGGAAAAAAAAACTCTGCACTCAATTGGATGTCAACAGAACTCAACTACACGCACGCTGGAAGAAGTAGTAAAATAATGAGTGTTGCTTCTTTTACTTGGTCCTCCATGAGTGCGACAAAAGGAGAAACCACAACGACCGCAGGGTTTTCATTGCGTCCCGTCTTCTTAGCGACCATCGGAGCCAGCTGATAAAATACACTTTTGCCGAATCCCGTAGGAAGGACGGCAAACACATCTTTCCGATCGACAAATGCCTTGATTGCAGTTCTCTGTTCGTCTTTTAAAATGAATGCGCTGTCGATTTCTTTTACAACAGACGCAATAGCGGAATCTATACATCTCAGTTCTCCAGCTGCAGTCATCTCTGAGGGAAACCAGTTCAACAAAAGCGCTCTTTGATAACGTGATGATTACGTAACTGCAGATCATCTGTCCATCATCGTTTAAAGCCCGCCCTGGCAATTTGATTGGCCCGACTAATTCTGAACCGATCATAATTACTCCTCAATGGATCGAGTCCAGACCGAACTTCCCGACCAAAAAATGTTCTGGGCGGGGTTCGGGCTGGCATCCAGGCTAAAAGTCTATGATAAAAGCGCACAAATACATACCACTTGAGTGGAAATACAAGAAATTGCAAGCAAATCTTTAAAACGATCAGACCGATTATGAACATGTGAATTATTAATTGTAACGTGAAAACACACGTCTGCCTCGTCATTCCATTGCATCTTTCTCAAAGCTGGATGAGACTAGGCCCCCTTGACTTTTAAATGCATTTCATTTTTCACCACAGCTACCTGTGGCGTTGATATATTGCTGCTTATTTCTTCCAGAGGACGATCCCCAGCCTCCCTTGATGTTTTTATATGCATGTATTGAATCATTTATCAACTCGCAAGATCATTCAATAATACGCTTTTCAGGAACACAGAGAAATAAGACTTTGCTGGGATGATGATGATGATGATGATGATGATGGCTTTAGCCTGCCTCTCCTCAGTCCTCGTGTTTGGTTTTTTATGAAAACGAAATGTGGGTCGTTCTGCAGCAGGCCTCTTTTTTTGATGTCAGTCACTGAACTGAGTGAAACATTATGAAAAAAGTACAATTATCCTGTGGTACATAAATCTATCTGTGCACGACGGCGGTATTGAAGATTAAATCACTGCTGCAGTGCTATGAACTGTAATATGGCAATAACAAAGAAAAGCTTGTGATGAAAAAATGTAAAGTTTCTCGATGTTTAGATTCTAAAAATGCTCCTCACTCAATGCTTGAAAAGAGGGCTCCTTATCGGGAGATAACAAAAGCCTTACAGCATAATTACCCCAGCCTAGGTCACCTTGGGCTTCGCGAGAACAACGTGCGATGGAGACAGCCGAAATAATGAAATCCTAGAGTAAAGGACACTTTTTGGTAACACGTCCTCCTGTATAATCACTCCACAGAGTTGCTTTAATGAGACACTCATGACAACCTCAAATGAGCCCCATAAGCTCATAAACATTCAGATATTGTAGCTTAAATCCCAACTGAAGGAAGTGTGGTTTCTCATTTCCTAGTTTCTCTTCTTTTCCATCCGTTGCACCATCTTTCTCTTGCTCTTTCACACTCTGGAGCATCACAAGTTTATTTTGAGGCACTGACAGATTTCCTCGTGGGTATGTGAGGTTCAGAATGCAGGTCAAACAGACTTGGTAGCAGTCGTCCAATGGCAACAGCAAAACTCTACCCCAAACCTGATCTTATGGGTGTCAGCAATTTTTTTTTTTTTTTGTGGACATTATTAAGGTAATGCTTCTTTCCGTCGTGTCACAACTGCAAACAGCCAATCCCTGTTAAAACCGGTCTAAAATATGCTGTGGCTCTGCATATAAAAGGCAGTGTTCAAAGAGTTATATCCGTCAGCCATCTAAAGAAGACAGCAGTTACAAAGGACTAACTGATGGTCCTTTGTAATTTATTAAAGTGTGAAGATCCTTGATGATGCTAATATTAGAGTACCATTCAATTTGCTCTTCTTCAAAAGCCCACTCACAGCAGAGTGAGAGAGAGAGGAGATTGGACATTGAACGAGAGACAGAAAGGGAATGTAAGAGCCTGAAAATCCACTTATATAGCCCTGCTGTTTAAAATAAAAAATATTGGACAATATGTCTTAAGTGTTTACAAAATTCAGTATCATAGAGAATTACAGTGTATAATACCAAATGTACTTCAAAATGAACACTTCGTATAGTTTAGTGTCTCAGTTTGACTTCTCTACTACAATCTTTGAAGAAAAATATCTTTCGTCCAGTCCAATACATATAGCAATATATTGCATTTTGTGGACTACAGAGATAAGAACGGCTAATCATTTACAGTTCTACATGTCCATAAATTCATTCATTCAAAGTTTAGGATGGCATTTGACGGTTTCCCTATATACTTCCCCCAATTATTACATTATTGCACTTAAAAAAAAAAAAAAAAAAAAAAATAATATTAAGTTAATTTAAAAAAAAAAAAACATGAAAACAAATTAAACCCAGTATCATGGTTTGTGTTTCTGCTCGCGTTAAAGGCAAAGTAATTGTATTGGTCAGTAGAAGCTTGTGGGCCAAATAATTTATAATTGGCACATGGAAGGACAAGTTCACACCTCTGATTCCAAACTGGAAATTCTGCCCCATGTCATGGGCACAATAGGGCTGGTATGAACCACCCTGCTGCCTGGAACAGGCACTAGATGGTCATCTTGTAGGTGTGTGGGTACCCTATACCCTCCATATACACTGTCACTAGGATGTCCCATACAGGGGAAGATGTTGCATAATTCAGCTGGTCCATATGACAGGGGGCTCTGGTAGACTGGCAGCTCTGGGTAGGAATAGGGTCTATGCACCAAACTTGACGCTCTCCTGACAGCTGCCACATTGTGGAAAATCGCCTCCTTGTAGGTGGGAAGCCTGGTGGACTGGCTGTGTCTCAGCTTCTGACTTTTCCTGGTGTTTCGCCGGAAGGCGTGAAGGGAGGTGTGATCCATCGGTTGGGCGTAACACATGGTGTTCCTCACCCGTCCGTGTACATCCACACAAGGGAACAGGTCAGGTATAGCTCCTCGTGAGGAGGCTGCTGCTGTGGATCTGTCATTCTGGAACCGGACTCTGTCGGGGCCCCAAGTGGCTTTCAGAAACGACGGTCTGCGATGAAGCTTCCTTTTCCCTATCAACGGTATGTCATCGAACGCAGGGTCAAAGTACGTTTTGACACAGGAATTACAAGCTGTGTCCGCTGCTACAAAAGGATTTTCGCCGAAGGAAGAGGACAGGTGGTTTTCAGCAAAACTGTTTGCTTCGGTATGACATGTTGATTGGTCTTTATAATCGTGAAGCCCCCTCAGATCCATGGACTCCACAATGAGATTTTGGGGTCTCTTTTTCCTCCTGACGGCATCTGACAAATCATTGTGACAAGACTTGTGGTGTTCGGTGTACATGTCTCTATATGGAACAAAGGAAGAACCAGGATGGGCCAGGTCGGATGGAGGATCATGCATGGCTAGATGAGGTGTGCTTAGACTGGATACAGGAAGCATACCGTCGTAGAGACCCCTGGTCCTGGCGGGAAGTGTGTAGCGAAGAGGAGTGGGCCGTGTTAGAACTCTATGGTTTACCATCGGTGGTGGGCTAGTGGTTTTGATGTGCTGCGTGAAAGGTGGAGTTATGGAACGCTGCATGTGAGGTATGTGGTTCTCCGTGACGTTAGTGATATATGAGAAGTGACCAGGGACCTTTTCAGTTGTGGTCACCAGTGGGATACGTGCTGGGAGGCTGCCGCCGTGTCTGCTCCAGTTCTCAATGGTCTTGGTGGCGTTATCCAATGAGTTCTCCACTTTGGCTGAGGAGACAATGTCCTTGGCTGTCTGCAGCATTTTCAGCATGTTGGCCTGGGCGTAATTGGCAGTGAGATCTGGATTCTGTATGCTGGTAGATCTGCCAAAGTCTTCAACGCCATTAAAGCAGCTGTATATGCCCTGAAATGTAAAGTGAATAGTGACTGTGTATTCCTACAGAGAAATGTTATTTTGTGGGCGTTTCACTGGATTAATTCGTGTCACGGCAGTATTTTTCTCCATCATAATGATTAATGTACCAGATTATGTTTTTGTAAGAGACAAAGATCAGTTCATTGTTTGATGTCAAAGTTTAATGTGCCTCCTTATGGTGAATTATTTGATTGATTGAATTTACCCAAATATCCCTTTTTAGTAAACAAGTAGCCTAAATACAACAGACTGTGCATTATGATTTGGGCTGGGTAAAAATATTTGACCAGTGTTAAATGGTATTATACCTAGCCTAGTCTGAATCTAAAAATGACTTAATATTGAAATGTAAATTTACAAGGCAATCTTACCCTGCTGATGGCCAGTAGAAAGTCTAAGTGATCAGACTTGTGGACAGAGTGCCTCAGTTTCCAGTAAAGTAGATGTTCCCAAGCAAAGACCAGCAGGCTGAGGCCCATGGCCACGAGCAACATGTAGAAAACACCTGCCATGTTGTCTATGTCTAGTTTAGAGCTCATGACCTCGTTTTTCTCATTCTGACATATTCCAGACAGCCATACTGTTTCCAGTCTCTGTGTGTCCCCTGCATGAAAGGAAACAGGGTCAGGAACAATGCCAGAAACAGCGGCAGTCAAAGACTACTCAACTATGACAGAAACAAGTGGATACTATAAGAACCACAAATGTGCTCTGCTCCAAAACCTAGTAAGCTTCCTACCTAGACAACATTTTAAGGCATAATTTGTGCGCTCCCGCAATGAAGGCTTTTCCGAAAAGTAGGTACTTTGTTTGGGCAATATTGCATGTATTCTTCAGGGTTAAGTATACATTGTGTCAAGCATGAAAAAATCAATAAATAAAATGTAGGCAGCAAAGTAGCTCACTAGTTTTAGAACAGAGTCAGTGTCTACTGTTCAGTGGAGGTTTTCTTAAGCCTGTAGTTTGCGCTGACATTTCATAACCTCTCAATTCTCAGCACATCAAGTTTTTTTTTTTTACAGTAAGAGGGGAATTTTATAGCTTCCATGCTGGGGGCGGAGGATATTAAGTGTTGACCAGTTTCCCCCAAGTGCAATTTACCATCTCCCAGGAACTGGAGGAGAGCCAGGTCTATGGGGCGCTTCCAGCGGGAGTCCTTCTGCAGAGCAATGCCGTAGCCTGTGGTAGCAAACACCTTCCCACTACCAATGGTGACCAGCTTGCAGCCCTCATCCTTGCCAGCCATATAATTAAGAACTGCTGCATCATATATGAAGGCATCCAACTTCCTACACAGAGGACAGAAATGAGCCCAAGGCAAATGGCTTAGTAATTACACGTAATTATGTCAAGTAAATAATTAGCTCTTGTTAATTTATACTCCCCTTTTCCTTGACAAATGGTGGATGATACATTATTTATGTTTCCCACCAGTGTTTCACTGACCATTAGATCTAACAAAATTGCTTTTAAATGATGTATATAATGACCAATGGAGTAAATCAGAACAGATTATTAACAAAACATTTCACTATCAGAAAAGTAGCATGTTTTTGGACATGTACTTCGGTAGTACCATGATATTCTTTGAAGCACCTTGAAAATACCATGTAAATGGTACCACCATAGTACCGTTTTGTTAGCATTCAGAGCTCTTCCACATACCCACACACACATAAAATGTTATTGCTGAAACCCACCCTGTCTTAAGGCTGTTGAGAGCTTCTTCCACACCCTTCTGGTTGTATTTTATCATGTGGGTGTGCATGTCAGGGTAATTGCTTCGAATGTTCCTCTCGGTGCTGCCATTTGGGACTGTCCCGAAGCGAAAAGGAGGATAATGTTCCTGGGGTTTTTGAAACTGAAACCAAAAAAGGAATAAATGACATTTCAATTGTTTAGCTGAGGCAGGTTGCATCTTAAACTTAATAGTGTCGATCAACTCAGATTACATGGACTTTACACAGAATCTACTACTGCCCAGGTAGTAGTGACCTTGGAAAAGTAAATCGAAGTACTGCTTTTTTATTTATATATTTTCCTTACTGATTCTTTGGACAGTTGGCAAGAGTTGACTCATTTTACACAATGCACATAGTATAGGGGATAAAGTAATTCGCTCTGAGTGACCATATTAGACAAAGGGTCTTCAACTGGGAGTCTGCAACCCCAGGTCCAATTCATGTTTGATTATAAAAAAAATTGTTAAAAAATTAAAACAGTCAAATGATAAGCACCCTCAAAGGAAAGCAAGAGCACCATCAGTTAATACTGTAATAATAACAACATATTGGCGAAACTCTTTTGGCTAACGCTCAAGAGCGTATTTGTGTTTGTTGACTTGTTTGTTGATCTCTTGAACACAATGGCCAATAAGAGGTTTAATTTAGAATCCACTCATCGCTTAAAACGGCAGCGTTTTTGTTCAGTGCTGAGTTCTGCACGCTTGCGAACAACAACAACACCACTATATAATGTTGCTGCTAACATATATTACCATGGCTCCAAGCACTTTTTTTTTTTTTTAATCTATGAATGATTAATCTGTTGTTGTTCTTTCCTAAAGTCCAATTAATTTCTCATTTGCATAATTCTATGGATTTCTGTCGCTTATAGTATTTTACTATAAAAAAAATATCTGTAATTGTAATAATAAATAAAAAATAATAATTCGTTACATTTATATAGCGCTTTTCTGGAAGGGGGAATCTCCTCAACCACCATCAATGTGCGGCATCCACCTGGATGATGCGATGGCAGCCATATTGCGCCAGAACGCCCACCACACACCAGCTTACTGGTGGAGAGGAGACAGTGATGAAGCCAATCAGTATATGGGGATTATTAGGAGGCCATGATGGATAGAGGCCAAGGGGCAATTTTGGCCAAAAATTTGGGATTTTTAATGACCACAGAGAGTCAGGACCTCGGTTTAACGTCTCATCCGAAGGACGGTGCTCTTTGACAGTATAGTGTCCCCGTCACTATACTGGGGCGTTAGGACCCACACAGACCACAGGGTGAGCACCCCCTGCTGATCTCACTAACACCTCTTCCAGCAGCAACCTGGTTTTCTCAGGAGGTCTCCCATCCAAGTACTAACCAGGCTCAGCCCTGTTGGCAGATCGTCACAGTATGATTTCAGGTTTTATTTTAAAATCTTATATTTAATATTCCAAATAAACATATTGGGTGTGACAAGGCCTTTCATAACTCATTTTGTTTCTGCCATATATGCTCTTACACAAAGAAAAACACATCAAAAGGTATCCAAATACAGCACCGCTGTCATTCAGCTCATTTACAATTACATACAACTTACCTTTTTGTCACTAAGTCCAGACACTGTGTCAATGTACTGCTCTTGGATCATGAAGGCAGCTAAATTGGCTGTGTAGCTGGCGAGAAAGATGACAGCAAAGAAAGCCCAAACCAGGACCATAATTTTGCTGGTTGTGCCTTTGGGGTTTTCAATAGGAACAGAGTTGTTGAAGACGATTCCCCACAGGAGCCAGACGGACTTTCCAATGGTGAAGGTTGGACCCCCAGGGGCTATAAAAGAGACACATTTATAGCATGTATAAAATAAATAATCATTTAATTTTAATTATTTATATAATTATGATTATGATTTCCATTACACGAGAGTAGATGTTAAAACTTCATGCTGATTTGTACTCGGCTTTCGCCAAGATAAGCAAAACTAAGACGTAGCTTTACAGTAAACTATGCTTCTCCATCCATTTACGCTTCTTTCCATAAGGTAGTGTGACTCCCCTTCTGTCCGGCGTTAACGGCAGCAGTGTACTTGGCGCGTTAGCGCACGCGACGGCTGCAACTACAGGACCAGCACGACAACCGTCTGGATTGAACCGAGTAGGGGACATCTCTAGGGTCTTCAAGTGGGCACCTTCCGTCCTCAGTGTTTCGTCGACTAGCCCACGACACCTCAAGAGGGCTCGACAGTGACTCTGGCGTCCCAGAGTCACCCCCCTCCGTCCCCCACTCAACTCAGCCCAGCTTACTGACCTCTACATCCCTCCTGCTGCTGAGACCTAACCACAATATCACAATCCGCGACCCAACCATACGCGCCAACCCGTTGACTAAGGCTGTCGAGCCCCACTGGTGCGTTAATATGCAGTTTCAGTGGACAACGGTTCCGTATGGCATATCACCTACCGCAAAACACAATATCTACCCAACCACCCGTCATTCACGCAATATCCACAGGAACGTATACAAACAAACCAACAGACTCTTCAAGTTTTCAAGAACTCTACGAAACCGTAGCGTGGCGGCCTGTACACAGCCAGCTAGAATCTTTCCGTCTCAACCACAGCCAGTTGCTGCTCCTTTCTGCTGCTTCAGATAAGTTCTTTACTGTGCGACGCAACTCTTGGCCACTGAATCCGACGTCTCTGAAGAACCGGGTTGTAGAGTGTGCCACAAAACCTCGACAACCCACTTCCACTGGATAAACCTGGACTCTCCATCCTCGCTGTTCTGCTTCAGTGGCCAGATGAGCATACCGCAGTTTCTTCCTCTCATATGCCTCATCTACCGCATCCTCCCATGGCACTGTTAACTCTATCAGTTGAACAATGCGTGCTGATCCAGACCACTAAACAATATCTGGTCGTAGGTTAGTGGTGGCAATCTCAGGTGGAAAAATAAGCCGTTGGTCAAGATCAGCCAGCATCTTCCAGTCCCTAGCAGCTTCCAGTTGTCCTGGGCGAGAATTGGTGTTAACACCTTTTCTTGGTGGTTGCTCGCCTGGGCGGAGGAATATTGTCTTCTATTTATATCGCAGTGTTTGGGAACAGTAATTTTAAAAAAAAGAAATCGATACTTTAATGCAAGCATGGATTAAATTGATCAAAGCTGATAGTAAAAACATATGCAATGTTAGAAAAAAAACTATTTCTAATAAATGCTAATTCTAAATAAATAAATAAAAATCCCCATTTCGAAAAAAAAAAAAGAGTTTTCAACACTAATATAACACGGTAACACTTTACAATAAGGTTCATTAGTTAACATTATTTAACTACCTTAGTTAACATGAACTAAGAATGAACAATACTTCAGCATTTATTAATCTTAGTTACCGGTAATGTTAATTTCAACATTTACTAATATATTATTAAAATCAAAGGTATTTGTTAACATTAGTTAATGCACTTTGAACTAACATGAACAAACAATGAACAGCTTTATTTTTATTAACTACCATTAACAAAGATTAATAAATACTGTAACAAATGTATTGCTCATTGTTAGTTCATGTTAGCTAATAGATTAACTAAATGTTAACTAATGAACCTTATTGTAAAGTGTAACCAATAACACTACTAATAAGAAATGTTTCTTCAACACCAAATCAGCATATTAGAATGATTTCTGAAGGATCATGTGACACTGAAGACTGGAGTAATGATGCAGAAAATTCAGCTTTGCCATCCCAGGAATAAAGTACATTTTAAAATATAATAAAATAGAAAAGTAATATAATTTGATCAAATAAATGCAGCCTAGGTGGCTTAAGAGACTTCACTCAAAAACTTTTGAACGTTAATGTGTATATATATTTGAATTACTTAATTATTTCTATAATACACATATGCACATCCTATATAACAGATGTTCTCTTGGCCATTTTGATTGAATTAGTCATAGATGGGCAAAGAAATTCTTTTCTAGTTCCACCTTGACATCAGTTCTTAATGTGGTTCTTGTATCTCACACACAGCCACAGAAAAGCCAAGCAATCAATCAAAGTCAAATTAGCAAAGCGACAAACGTTAATTAAACCTCAGAAAAATGACCTTTTACACTAGGAGACAAGTACACACCCTGTCAGCTCGGTTTATGTGGATTGATTAGGCTGCTTCCACAACTATTCTTCCTCTCCTAGCTTTGTGCCTGATAGAGAAAAGACTGTTTGAAAAACCAAGGCTGACCTTTGGCACTGACAAGGCTCCGGTTATACCCAACAGGGCTGAAGTACTCAAAGACGAACACGGTGACTGCCACAACAGTCAGGCACATTACGAACATCATAACCCACACGGCTGGACTGTAAGGCTCTGCAAGACAGAGGGAAAGACCAAAAATACAAAACTCAGCTGATTATCTGATTAAGATCTTGCACATAATGCTGTTTTTGTTTGTGATGTAAATGCTGTGCAATTAGAAAAAAATAAAGAACAAATGAATGTTAAGCAGAGTCAAAATGCCTTTGTTTGTGTTCAGAGCTGGTGATTCAGTAGAAAATGTTTGTCCTATCTAGGATTTATTCTAGATTTAATCCAACAAAGGCATAACATTTGAATTTAATCACATTCTAATCAAAACGCCACGGGTAGGAAATATTTAACAAGATATTGAGAACCTTCAAGCATCTCTCATAAACTGTGTGAGTGTGTCCTTGAAAATGGATGGATAATGAAGACTCCTCACCCAGGAAGGCAGAAGGTGAGACTGTTCCATTGCTTCTGGCCACCATAACACTAATCCCAGTCTCCACAAATGGCACTGAAAAGTCAACAATCTCTGACCGCTCCTCATTGATGGTAAGAGAGCCAATTGCCATATCTGCACGCTTGTAGAAGACCTTGAACAAGGGGAAAGTGAGTGAAAACTTTAGAGCAGTCATCAGAAACAGCTAAATAATGGAGACCCGTGCAATTTCAGGGTGGAAATTTCAAACTTATGTTCAACACTCAATGAAGAACTTACTTCTATGCCATTAAGGAAGTCATTTCTATACAATATGCATGTGTGTAGCATAAATACAATCCTGACATACTATATGCCATGTTGATGTTGTCTTGTGACCTACACCTTTGCCATTTACAATTATAACCACTCTACCATGGCCTTGTGTGCAAAGTGTCCATTGGATGTGCACTTCAGAATTTCAGTGTAAAGAGTATTTTTCGCATACTGGTTATTTATACTTACTACTCATTTGGCATAATGCTTTTCACATACTATATCCTTGAGAAGTACACATATTTGGACGTAGAGAATGTCTCTGTACAACATTAAAGTCAAGTAAACGCAATGTACTATTAGTCACAATATAATAATATAATATAATATAATACAAAGGTTGGTCACACATTAGATTAGGGTCTCACTAGTTAATAGTGAGAATTGGACCCTAAACTAAAGTGTTACCAGTGGGTTAATACCCACTATAAACCTGACATAGTTTGAAAGTTTTTTTATGGATATCACAATTAAGACTATTGTTATTATTAGCCTCTGGTTTCCAGATTCCAATTTCTTCAAGGAATGGAAATGGACATGAACCACTAGGTCTCATTACACAACTTCGCAAATCGCTAACATCGCAAATCATTGTTGACAGATTTGTTTTTTCCGTCACCCGCAATCAGGCTCATGAATACAATTCCTTATATCACACTCATGTCAGCCCGTAATTTCTGTCTTGCTATTGTATAATAATTATTTATCTCATGTAATGATCTATTTCTCTCGCAGTGTGAAAAGCATTTAAGCCTTGTATGTGGAGCGTGGGTTTGCTATCTTTAAACTCATCAACGTTTAAGCAGATGCAGGTGATGAAAACCGATGAAGTGATCAGCAGCTGTAGAAGACACTAAACCACCGGATTAAGTGACACTACACGCAGCAGGAGGTCACAGGATGGAATGTGTCGAGATCGCTTTTAAAGCCAGTTATGCTCCATGAATGCACTTAATAACTTTAGCTGCAATATTTGGTGGTTTAAGGAGATCTGTTAAATACAGAAAGAAAACAGGGTGTGAGTAATGTTAGGAAAAACGTGTTGACACTGTCATAGGAAGCTGATTTATTTCTTGTATCACGCTGTAAGCTGTTTTATTTTTATATTCTCAGATGTTAATTTAGCTCATTTCCCATGAGCACTGAACTGTTGACATGTTTGAAGTGTGAGTGCGTTTATGTGAGAAAGAGAGAGAGAGAAAATGTGCCATTTCATACCTCTCCAATCATCCCATTCCAGACGCCACGGACCATCTTGCCATGTTTCCCATTGGTGACCAGATAAAGGTCATATGAAAACTTGATTGTGCGTGAGAGCTTCTTTAGGATGTCTATGCAGAAGCCTTTGCAGCAGAGTTTGGTGTAAGGCTCAGTGTGACCGGTTATACTGCACAAACAATAAAAATAAAATAAAAATAATTATATATTAAACATTTAGTACAATTTTTCATCTTTCTTTAAAAACAAGTAATAGTTCACCCCAAAAAGAAACATTATTCCAAGCAACTTGTATGCTACATTGCAAGCATTCAGAAGCCAAATGATAGCTTATATGCGAGAATTTGTGTCAAAAATTGTGGTCATATGGACCACTTTTACGTTATTATTAGGGTGCTTTTGTGTCCTATTTGAAGCTTGAAGCTTTTAGTCTATGTTTATTGTAACTGCATGGAAAACAGTCATCAAAATATCTGCAGAAGAAAATTATATAGGTGTAAATAATGACAGACTTTATTTTGGGGTAACTAAATGTCCTTTAAACCATTTAGGAAGGAACCATATAAAAAGGTTATGATCCACATACTCCCATTGAACATTTGGTGAAGAGGATCAAAGCGCATGGTTCTAGGGCAAAACATATGGTGTTCAAAATAAAGATGAAAAACCGCACTCTCTAGTTGCATCTCATATATATTTATTTATACCATGTCCACACAGACGCGTTTCGGCCTAAGCCATCATCAGTGAGTGTGTGGTGTGAAACAAAGAGATTGCTTTTTAACATCACAGGTGAACCCCATTAACATCCAATCAGCAAGGACGTTTTGTGGGTGCGAGTTATAAAACAGTAATCAAAATAAAGATGAAAAACCGCACTCTCTAGTTGCATCTCATATAAATTCTTTAGATCAATTAAATTGAAGTCCTTTTTTACTTGTGGAACCAGCTCAGTCCAGCCCACAGTTAGAACCTATCCTAAAGAACATTTGGAGAAGAGCCGTTTTCGGCCAAAAAGTACATTTATACCCCTGTATCCAACCCTTCGGTTCAGACGTTCTGCCGGCTGGTTGATCAGGATGTTTTTTATCTATTAACAAGAGATCGACATTTTTACCCGACCCTTTCGACTAGAGAACGTGAAGCTTTGCGGGCTCTTAGTAAAGATGTCTCGATTGTAATTAAGCCTGCTGACAAGGGTGGTGCGGTTGTAATACAAGACAAGGATTCATACCGCAACGAAATTTTGAATCAACTTGGAGATCAGGAATTGTATTCCTCCCTTACTTGTGATCCGACGAGTCGTTTTTTTAATATGATAAAAAGAACTCTGATTGGTGGCGAATCAGACAATCACATCACTAAGGAAGATTTTAACTTTTTATTGCAAACTCATCCAGTACGACTGGTATTTTACACCTTGCCGAAAATCCCAAAAAAATGTGAAGGAACTACTCCAGGCCGTCCAATCGTGGCCGGTAGCCAATCCCTAACTGAACCCATTTCTCAGTATGTAGACTGGTATATTAAGCCAATTGTCTGGACATTACCTTCATATTTAAGGGACACTACTGATTTTTTGAGTAAACTGACAAATGTCCATATATCAGATGATGATTGGTTATGTACTATCTATGGATATAACTAGTCTGTAGCCTATACCAACATTCCACACGATCTAGGTTCAAGGCAAGGCAAGTTTATTTTTATAGCACATTTCATACACAATGGTAATTCAAAGTGCTTTACATAGAAGAAATTAAAAAATCAAAAGAAATATCAATAATTAAAACAGTTTAGAATAAAGAAATTAAAATAATCAAAAGAAATAAGAATAATTAAAACAGTTTAGAATAAAAAAAAAATATATATATATATATATATATATATAATACAGTACAAACAGTCAGACGAACAGTGGCACAGTGCTCATTCAGTAAATGCATGCATTCATGTTCATGTGCATTGGAACATTATTTAAAATCTAGAGATGTTGATAAGCCTCCAACAAAGTTTCTGTGGGATCTGGCACATACAGTGCTGACAATGAACTATTTCAAATTTGAGAACAGTTTTTATCATCAGGTTAAAGGCACGGCGATGGGATCTCCATTTGCCCTATGCAAACTATGCAAACTTATTTATGGGCAAGTTTGAAGCAGACTTTGTTTATTCTCCAAGTAATATTTTACACCACTGTTTGAAATGCTGGTTTCGGTATATTGATGATGAGTTTTTTTATTTTCAGTGGAACAGTTGAAGAACTTAATCTATTTCATGAATTTCTAAATTCCAGACTTGACTCCATACGATTTTCCTTGGAATAGGCTACAGTATGTTTTCTATATCCTTTCTTTACGTTAAGATTTTTAGATCTACTGGACAGGCTTTACAGACGACAGTATTTCGTAAATCCACAGATAAGAATAATTTTTTACATTCAAAAAGTTACCATCCTCCATCTATGAAAAAAAGCATTATAGATAATCGAGTGGTCCTATCTACGACATTTTCTCCCCTTTCGGGTGAGATTAAATCAATAGTAAATAAGCACTGGCATGTTTTATCTAGTGATACACAGATTGGCCAGTCTTTTCAGAACCCTCCACTTTTTGCCTATAAGAGGTCGCATAATTTGAGAGATATGTTGGTCAGAGCTGATTCTTACACTCCGCCTACTAACTGGCTTACAGCCCTTGATCCGGGCAATTTCCCTTGTAGGAGTTGCGCGAATTGTAATGCGATGATTACAGGTAATTCTTTCCCACATCCACTGACTGGCAAGAAATTCTCTGTGAGAGGGAGAATTACTTGCCGTACGTCCTTTGTTGTGTATTTACTTAAATGTCCATGTGGGCTTTGTTATGTGGGTAAAACAAAAAGAGAGTTGAGAATAAGATTACACGAACATAAAAGTAACATACGTAATCACGACATTAAGTCACCAGTGGCTAGACATTTTAATGAATTTGGGCATGATATTTGTACTTTGAAATTTCAAGGCATCGAGTTAGTTAAATCTCTCCAACGGGGTGGAGATAGGGAGCGCTATCTCCTTCAACGAGAGGCTTTTTGGATTTATACGCTTCAAACGGTATACCCAAATGGTCTAAATGAAGAACTGACGTTAAACTGTTTCTTGTAAACAATTTAATCTGTAATTTAAGTTTATTAATTTAATTCTCATGTTTAACCTGGTGTTTATTTCTGTTTTATTTTTATTTATTTATTATTTTTATTTTCTTATATATATTTTTTTCTTTTCTTTTTTTCTTTTTCTTCCTTTTTTTTGTAATTGTTTATAATGTTTACATGTGAGCATTGTTTATGATTTGTTTTGTTGTTACTCTTTGTGTGTTTTTATGTTGGTAACTTGATGCACCTGACGTTGCTGATTGGATGTTAATGGGGTTCACCTGTGATGTTAAAAAGCAATCTCTTTGTTTCACACCACACACTCACTGATGATGGCTTAGGCCGAAACGCGTCTGTGTGGACATGGTATAAATATATATGAGATGCAACTAGAGAGTGCGGTTTTTCATCTTTATTTTGATTACTGTTTTATAACTCGCACCCACAAAACGTCTTGGGAGTTGAGCGCGCCTGTTTTCAGCACTATTGAAAACATATGGTGTGACACACATCTGAAAGAAAGATTACTGACAGAAAGACTAATTAATCATAACTGGAATAATACAGACATGAGTATGGAGAGAGGAAATGATATGTGTTGCCATAAAAGATTATGAAGAAGACTTCATATACAGAGGTACAATGGAATCAACAGTAGTGGCCAAAACTGATTGTATAACGTTTAGTTTTGGGTTTGTTTCAATGTAAAAAAGTAAGTGCTGCCTTAAATGTTAAGTTTAGTCAACTCAAATATCCAAGTTGTAACTTAGTACAACTTCACATTTCAAGTTGCCTAAACTTAAAATTTAAAGGCAGCACGATCACTTACTTTTTTAAGCTGAAACAACATTTTCAAGTCAAGTCAAGTCATGTCGTGTTTTGTTTTTATTTTTATTTGTTACAGTTTTGTAAATAAAGCTGCACTTGGGGTCACTTCAACAACTCGCCTATGGTGGAAATTCTTATGGTAATGTCCGGAAGAGTTATTTGTTTTTAAACAATTTCAAGTTTGATTAAACAATCAAAATAAGAGGAAAATATTTTATATATTATAAATATTAGGGAAGAACAAAACATTGGACTTGGTATTCATCTGACAACATTTTTGGGCAAAAAAGGCAACTATACAGCTACAGGTTTAATTTTACTATGCAAAAAAAAAAATGCATGGAAAACAAAAAGCTTACAGGAAAAAGCATACATTGACTACAACATAATGAATTATTAATATCCCATTGGTTCTCTTGTTTTTGCACGTGTTCATAATTTCTTTGAATGACAGCTTGGTTAAAAATGATGTCCGCACAATTTGGCATGTAAAGTCCGGCTCGATTGGTCCAAATGCGGCATCCAATCAGCGGAAGAAGGTTACTCTGCGTATTGCTTACCTTTCCTTTTTACGCAACACAATAAGATTAAATGGAACACAATTTCTTATGTATTTTCTCGTTATTTCATCTGACTCCAAAAATGAATAAAGTTTTAATGATATCTGTGTATCATTAAAATGAACGAATATTTGATTATTCTTTTAAACTCTGATTATATTTTACCCGCTTAGATCAGGAAACTATATCGCTCTGCAGCCCTTCTCTCAAGGCTGCACGACACACTCTGTCAGGTCCAATCATTAAATCAGAGGTAAGTTTGACTAAATATCTAAGATTTGCCGTATTCACACGCACATAATCAAAGACATATATATAGTCCCCTTGAAGCGCCTCCTCTAGAAGTTAAATCAGTGAATTACTTTAGTAGGGATGAATGACCACCATGAAAGACACAAGCCGATCAACTCACTTCTCTTAAACTGACTTCAGGTCAAACCCGTGGCCGAGACCACGCACATAGATCTAAAGTAATCACTAACTTAAAACAGTGGATATAGACACACCGGAAACTAAGAAGATCAAATCAACATTTGTTGATACTAGTCGGCGATAGCTTGTCTCCTCGTTAAAGTACACTTAAAATGATATCGGAAATTAGCCGTCACTAAAACTGACCAAAAGATGTGGAAATATACGAATCCGATAATCTAATAGGGAAAAAACAGTTCAGAGTCATCAGAATAAAATCAAACGTTTACAATTTATTGACCAGGTAATGAAGCAACAATTCAAAATCCAATTCATGAAATCATCAGTTAATCATACAGAAATCGAGGAATTTGTAAAGTATTACCTGGCAACGAAAATTACACACAGCGATTGTGTGGGCAGTCAACCTACAGACTCCCTGAACTTTTCTGCTCCTTTTCTTTATATACCCAGATAATTTAATATTCTTACCAAATGGTGTTGTCTGTCATTATAATTAGATTTTGGTCCCCTCTAGAGGGGTTCACACTTTGAAGGGGTTCTTGTTTTACATACAGGAGGTAGTTAGAATGGAGGATCTGAGGGAGGTGAGGAGGGGGGGGGGATGCAAGGGAAGTAGTGTGTGTGAGGTGTGAGCTGCATCTCAGAAGTTCCTGTTGCACATGCAAGAGATAGTTCAAGTGTTAATTTTCAGGAGCCCCTTTTGTTTCCTCGAGGGGTCGATCAGACTTACTGGCACCAGCCTTACATTTCAATTATCACAAATTAAAAAAAAAAATGACTCCAAGCACAACTATGCAATATGCTTACAAAATCTTTAACAAATTCTTTATATTATTTGAATGAAAATTTTCCTAGGCCAGACATCACTTTTGGCCACTAATGTATAGTACGTCTGAGGGCTTTTCTTTCTTATTGACCTGAAAAGAACAATAAATAGCCTACATAATAATGTTTACTCATATCAATAATAGCTACATATAAGTAGATAAATACAGGCTCAAAAAGCAAATAAACACTGCTCTCTTCAACAAACTGCTGCGATTTAAAAACCCATAGCCCAGAATCTATAGAAATGTAATGCTTGGTTGTGAGCATTCACAATAAAATGTTCGGAAAAAAGCGATGGCCTCCATTAACCGTTAGATGCTGGAGGCACTGAGCAGAGAAACTCTGAGAGCAATAATGATACATCACCTCTAACCTCCCCCAGACCTCCTGCGTAATGAGCTGTACGGGGAGTGGACTTGGGGCGGAGGGCCGGCAATGCAGGGTGTGCGGCACTGGCAGCAACCATAACAAAGAAAGACAAATGAAGTGTTTGGAAAGATGAGAGTCTCCTCTGCAAGCGATCTGGACATAACATAAACAAGCCTGTCTCTTTTCTAGCCTGTCTCACCACCTGCAAATGGCGCTGGCAGTTTGGGTTAAGTGGGCTGTGAATTAAGGATGAGATGTTTAATCAGTCAAACAAACAAACACACACACACACACGCATGCACGCACGTACGCACACACACACACACACACACACACAAAACACAAGGGACAGAGGGACAAAGTGCATCAGTTTCCTGGTAAAATGGACACAGACACACTTGCATCCTAGGGAGTGTCAATCAATTATTTCTCCTTTAAACAAAGGATATGGATCTTTGTTATCATTGCATACAGTCAGTTAATGTGAAACAGCTGTTTGAGAGATGTACAGTGGCTTGACCTATCTATTGCAGAAATGGGTGAAGCACATCGATTTGGTTGTGGTAGACTAATGCATTTCATTTCCAAACACAGTGCCACAATAGTGCCACAGTCTGCTGACCTTGATATACATGGCATCATAAATGGCAGTGACCGCTGGTGCTGCTGAACTTTAAAAAGAGTATACCATATGGGAGACCTAGATCACACTACACTACCAAGTTTGGGTTCTGTAAGATTTTGTAATGTTTTTGAAAGAAGTCTCCTATGCTCAAGCACCAAGGCTGCTTTTTTCGTCTTAAAAAATACAGAAAAAATGAAATATTATTATCATTTAATTTTCTTTCTAATTTTATTTATTCCTTTGATGGCAAAAGCTGAATTTTCAGCAGCCATTACTACAGTCTTCACTGTCACATGATCATCATTCAATATACTGATTTGGTGTTCAAGAAAAAATCTTGTGCTGTTTAATATTTTTGTGGAAATGTTATAATGTTTTTCAGAATTCTTTAATGAATATAAAGTTCAAAAGAACAACATTTATTTTTGTCACAATGTAAAAGTCTTTACTTTTAAACAATTTAATGTGTCCTTGCTAAATAAAATAATTAATTTTTTAAAAAAAAATCTTACTGACCACAAACTCTTTAACTGTAGTGTACTGTATATATGTGTATTATCCCAAATACAAATGTATAAATAAATTATATTTATAGTTTATATTTAAATATTAAAACAATTATGTAGTTCGTGAAATAACAAAATTGATGGAAACATTAACATTGTTTTTGCCACCAGATTAATTCTATAAAACAGCAACATTGGGACAATAATAAGTGCTGAATCTTGTCCTAATGCATGGAAGTGATACATTTGGACAAAATTATGTAAAAAATTTATGTTTAAAGGTATAGTTCACCCAAAAATGAACATTCTGTCATCATTTACTCAACCTCAAGTTGTTCCAAACCTGTTTGAGTTTCTTCTGTTGAACACAAACAAAGATATTTTGAAGAATGTTGGTAACCAGACAGTTGACAGTAGCCATTTACTTCCATACTATTTTTTTTTCCTACTATGGAAGTCAATGGCTACCGTCAACTGTCTGGTAACCAACTGTCTGGAGGGTGAGTAAATGATGACAAACATTTTTAATTTTACGTAAACTATCCGTTTAAGGAGAGAATTATCAAATTATTTAACAGTTTGAAACCAATATACAAAGCCAGTGCTTGAGAAAAAGTGTGTTTGCGTAATTGAACTTTTGACTCAAAACCTGTGACAACAAACCCCATTCTCCCCAACCATATTTTGGTATACACTTACTTTAAATCCTGAATAATAGTTTTCCCATTTGTATAAATGACTAATTGGCATGTGTAAACACATTGGTAGACAAGAATTGGGAATCATTGTATAATAAATCCATAAATTCACTTAAACATAAAAAAATGCCCATTGTTACCTCAGGTCCAATTAAAAGCAGTTGTCATACTTTTCAGAACTTTCTGAACATGGGTGCCAATTAGCATGAAGGTCTGTGATGGGCCCAGAGCAGAACGTCACCATTACAGTTATTGATCATTGTTTCCCCTTCAGCCATCACACGCTTCCCATGGGGTGATTACTCTGCTTTATGATTTATTTACACTCTCTCCCCTCAGCATGGAGCCATAATGAGCCTGTCATCTCTCTCTCTCTCTCTCTCTCTCTCTCTCTCTCTGGGCATGACACACTCAGCATGTGTTACCTCCAGAGCTACACAATTCACGGAATCTGCTTTCATTTACCTGGAGGAACCAACTTTTGGAATTACACTATTTTATTGTTCATGTCTAAGAATTCCATCCACAGAGGAAAGCAAATTACAGTGATCAAGGAGTCACAGATTTTAAATAGCAAGTTTATGCCTAGGGCAAGGAGGGTTGAGGGATTAATTGCTGGAATGAGCAAAACAATTCCTAATAATAGGTCTTCAGTCCAATGAGCTTCTGTTTAAATCATTAAGCCCTCTGGTAAATCAAGATAAGAATGGGTGGCATTCAATGAGAGCACTAAAATTTAGTAGCCAAGTTTGGGAGCCTCCAAGGTGCTTAAGTTGTGTCTCATTTCCCTTTTTAGATAGACTAAAAAAATACTAGTAAGTACGTACTTTTAACAGTCTTTTGCTATAAGGTGATGTTCTCATAAAAGGGTTAGAGTACATAGCAACTAAACAGGACTAATATTCTTAAGATTCCAGCACAGAAGAAAGTAAGTCATACAAATAATGTGTTTTTTTTCTCTTCATTTTGTGGGTGAACTATCCCTTAAAAATAAATAATACTTCAGTAAGGTTCAGTAATTATCTGCATTTTAAACTCTCTACAAGCTTGCAGATGCAACATCCCAATAAAGTGTGTAATAGGCTTGCTGGACTGTAACAAGTTGCATATGCTAAGTGACTCTCGTGGCATATTACTAAATGGGGATGTTTGCCAGTTTTGTGTAGGCGTTATTTGACTTCTTTTTAATTAGCAGTCTGGGTTTTATTTTTTTCAGCTCTGCTATCTAATATCAGAAAAAACTGGGAAATATTATATAAAACAGTGGTATACTGTAGGCAGAATGCGTTCTTAATATTAAATGTTAGACGTTTCCACCTAAAGTTTAGTAAAACTCTTTCTCGGTTTCAAATGTTCTTGTTTGTTTAATGACTCATTCTAGAAAGTGAAAAGGTTGCTGCTGCTTATTTTATAATTATTAATGGGTACCTATTATCCCTGTACTAGGTACAATCCATCCAGTGGACACTCTTTATTGCTCCCCTTAATAAGAGACAATTCATTTTAAAGATCAATGTAATCAAATAGTACATTTGCAATGTGCAGCAGAGAGAGGATAATGTAATGTGGAGACTGGGCTCTTTATGAAATTTTCTAGATATTGGTCTCATAAACAACCTCATTTGATGAATACCTTCATAAACAACAGCCACAGATGTTGACCTTTTGAAGTCACATTCACAGGTGTACCTTTCAGTCCGGTTGGACTGCCGACGGCACGGCACAGTATTGCGCACACAAGTGCCCGTGGCAGGATCAACACTCTCCACGACGACGAAAGGCCTCTCCTCCAGGGTAGCCACGGTCAGGTGGCGGTTGTCAGATACGGGCTCCAGGAAGCTCCCATAACGGGGCCATACAGGGTAACGCATCTGCAGAATCCCTCCCTCATAGTTTCCTACCTGTGGAGGGTTTCAGAAGAGGTTTAAATGTGGATTAAACCTTATGAATGGTTAAAGGTTAAAACATATATAGACATTTCTTCATTGACTTCTACTGTTTTAATACTAATTATATTTCCTATGCCCTAATCCTGAAGCTATCCCTCACATAAATCCTTTTGCATTTTTAGATTTTCATTAACCATAAAACCTGACATATTAAATAACTGTCAGAAAAGGTTAAAAAAAGGTTTTTTTTTAGTTGACTATCATATTTGATGCATTTGGCATTTTTGGTATGATATAGGATAATAAAGAGCTGATACTTGAGGAGAGAAAAAACACCTACATTTTATTCAGAGGCCCAAACTGAACAAAAATAAAACGTAAGAAAAAGTGTTAATCTTCAAATATGACTAATAATATAAAAGATATTCTTACGGTTAGTTAAAAAACAAACCAGTAAAGATTTCACAGCGAAAAGACACACGTACCACAACCTGAAGGTGGACGCTTTTGGAATGATAAAATGATGATGGAATGATGGTATAAGACAATCAGGGCTCGACATTAAGGCTTGTCCGCTTGTCCGGGACAAGTGGATTTTTTGTAGGACAAGTAGAAGAGAAAATTAGTTGTCCGACCGGACAAGTTCAATTTCAAACAAAATAAAATGCCATGTTACTTCACGTTATGTGCCACTCGTTACGTCTATTTTACAGATTTAATTTTACCGATTTGAAACGAACACATTTTTTCGCGCTGCCTGTGAATGTCCTGTGACTCACAGAAAGACGCGCGCCAGTATGCATGCACAGACCGCGCGCCAGAAGTTCTCTTTCGCGCTTGAACGAACATCAACAACACACACAATTAAGCAAAAATGTCATTTGTCGAGTATCTTCATAACATAAGAACAGTCTTATGATGGACATAAAGAGTTGTGACTCGTGAGAGAATGAGGCGCGTGTGATATCCGCGTCTCTGTCCCAGCGGCTGCTCTTAAAGGGCCAGCTACCAATAAAGCGTTCTGTCAGTAAAGTTCCTGAAAGAACAAAGGGAACAGAGAAAATTACTCACTGCTCTTGACTAAAGAACTTGTGTAGCTTCAATAAGTAGTAGTCTATATATAATTTATAATTTATGCAGCCCAGACTGTTTGATAACTTTATTCAATTTCTGTATATGTCCTACCTGTTAGACAGTTAATTTTTATCCAGACATCAATGGCTTATTGATCATTATAGGTGTTATCAATCATTTAATTGTTATTGCTAATTTCAGAATTATCACTAATCTGTGTGTGCATTTGGTTTAGAACCAAACAAGTTGACTCATGAAACCATTTGTTTATTATATCGCAATCGCATATCACAACCGCAATATTGAACTCAATAATCGCAATATGACATTTTCCCCAAATCGTGCAGCCCTAGATAAAATTATAAATCTTTACCCGGACAAGTGACTTTTGTGCATGGACAAGAGAAACATAAATGTACTTGTCCGAAGGACAAATGCCTCAAAAAGTTAATGTCAAGCCCTGACAATGTTTGTAATTTCTGGTTTAATTTTATCCATGTAGGGGGTTCCATCACCTTGTATCCTTGTCTTTGGATAGGCAAAACCACACAAGCAAACATTCGACAGATGTGATAAAGGAAAATGTTCTAAAGTGCAATGGTGTCTTCCTCACGGGTATGTTGTATTTATCAACATATCATTATTTATCATTATTCGTTTGTCACATCATCAGCATGATGAATAATCAAATAAATATCCCACAGCTCTCTTATGTTATTCTCTTTTATTGCTCTTATTTTTTTTGTTTTTTCCACTGAACTTAAAATGAATTTGTAATAATGGTTAGAATTTATACTACTCCAGTAATGAAGGTGTTGCACAAAGCCGTAAATCTCCCAGGGCTCAGAGGCTCATGGGGAATCTTTACAGTGCTGTTTGTAGACTGTGGAAAAGCCCTATTATCCAGAGAGAGCTCAACCCACTGGTCCAGCTCAGCTTAAAAGAGACTATGGAGAGTCTGACTCAGGCGTGCCTCTACTAAAATTTCCCAAGAATCAATGCGTCACACCCAAATACCAAGGGGGAGATGTACGAACCTGCTGTCCGTCTCTGTGACCCTGTTTTAAAGTGACATGAGAGAAGAACATACACTCCTCTATCTAAAAAGCTGCAGTCCATTAGCTGGGGTTATTACGTGACTGCTTCTTGAATGTCTGACCCCTGCTACAGATTTTGAGCGAACAGCCATTTTTTGCAGCATATTGTTTAAAGAAAAATGTAAAAAGAGCTAAAGAAGGATGCACTGTTGCATATCCTTTTAAGGCAAAAGACAGGAAAGCTCAAGAAAGTGTTGCCACTAATTGTGCAGCAGCTGTTTGACAGCCTTTCCCAAATGCAGCCGAGGCTTTTCAGCTTGGGAATTGTAATCCATGTTTGGTTATGGTATTAGCTGTGAGGGGAAGTGAGCGTGATAAGCCTCGGCAACAGGGATTTATAGAAGAATCATTCATAAACTTCAGCAGAACAAATAGATTCAATCTCTAGACTCCAGGTGTGGATAACATGACAGCCTGGTGGCACATCACATCTGATCATTAGCAATGACAACAAGAGCACTAAAGAACATTTTATTTGCACATTAAATGAGGGCTGCGTCGTGGAAACTGTTCTTTATGTGTAAAGAATGAATCCAGACAAAGCCCAGCAGTTATTTCTGTCTATACCTGTTTTAGTGAGCACTTTCAGACCAGCAACTGAAATAGGCTGTGTAGTGAAAATGAGAGGTATAGTAATTCAGCAGACTAAAATGGCTGTAATAACAGGGTATTCTATTCTCATTCTGAGGCACAAACCAGATTTCGTTCGGAGTAGATATCTGTTATTTGGAATAGCCTATTTCGTTTTACAGCTGCCTAGCATATCTGGGATTCTTTAACTGAGATTTTCAAAAGCCAATGTCTGTCCAAACCACTGATCTATATACAGATCTGTGGTCTAAAACTTAACCAAGTCATCATGCACTTAAACTACAACAGCATTTTGTCTATTGCAGTTCACAACCGAAAATGGGTTGCAGGTCTGTTTTGAAAGGGTTGTGGACAGCAGGAAAAAACAAACAAACATTAAATGCCCATATAAAATGCAACTAACCATATAATTGTGGATAGTTAAGACAGTAAAATTACCTTATTACCTTTAAATGAGACGAAAACACCATTAAATACTCCCCATATACTTAGTTCTGTTAAAGGGATACTTCAGGATTTAGCATTAAGCTTTGTATTAGTAGAAAACCTGTAGTATTTTCGAATTACCATGCTTTCCACCCTCATATCCCCCTGAGACGAGAGATTTGTGTATTTTTTGTCTGGAAAAAAACCTTCCGATGACGCAAAAATCGTCATTTTGCGTCATCGGAGGATTTTTTGGCCAGAGGCTAAAGACTACAGCCAGTAGTAGGGGCTGTTCCGCTTGTTCTCAACCCGCCCATAGAGGGTGGGCTCTCACTCACAGAATGTACACATAGTGTCAGACATCTTTTTTTGGAAGCTAAGCTAGCAGGCTCTTGTTCTGTGGAGAAAGCTGAGTAGTAGGGGTTACCATCCTCTTTTTCCCGGACATGTCCGGCCGTTGATGTCCGAGATTCAGCTTTTGCTTTCTGCAGTCGCCATTCATTGTTTACATGCACACCTTTTGTTTCAATCTAACTGAATTCATTCCGATTGGTGAATCTGAATGTAGTTTTTACATGAACGCTAAACAAGTGATCGGTTGATGTGCGTTTTAACATTGCTAAGAAAATTCCCGCTCCTCCGTGAGAGATGCGAGACCGTGTGCCTCGCGTCGTTCTCCCGCGGCCCTCAGTCTCGTCCTGCTCGCCACAGTAAACATAATGAATGGCGACTGTAGAACGCAAAAGCCGAATCCCGGACATTTTGGGCGATCTCGAAACACATTTTCGGGCAGACTCATCATGGAGACTCACTAGTAGCCTAGACTTGTTGAACTACTGCGCTGTGTTACCGGTAGGCGTGGCCTCCTAGGGCAGCGAAGCAAGTGCATTCTGGGAGTTGTTGTCTTTCATCCACATAAGCCAAAAATAAATTTTCTGGCTTTTCTCAGTCCAGAAAGCTCCAAATTCAAAAATAATTTCACATTTCTTCTACATAAATGACCCATTTTAAATACACATTCATCTTTCCAGAGGTGAAGTATCCCTTTAAGACAACTCTCTGGGCCCTATCTTGCACCCGGCGCAAATGACTTTGTACACTGACGCATTTATCATTCCTATTTTGCACCCGCGCAAAGCGGACTTTTCCCTCCACAGACGCACGTCGGTAAACTAGGGAATGAACTTGCGCTCCCTGGGCGGTTCAGCGCAAAAAGGAGGCGTGTTTCGGCGCAAACATTCCCTAGTGCTATTTTGCAGTTCCAGAAAACAATTGCGCCACTGACCAGAAAAAACCTAGTCTAAAGTCAGTGGCGCGTTGCGCGTACATTCAGATGCTATTTTAAGCGCGCATGTTTGGCCATAATACAGAGTGTGAACAACGTGCATACACTGTAGATGATTCTCTCATCTACACAGATGCATTTTACTTTTTGCAAATGATATATTATTATAAGGAAAAATATTAAAACACGAGGGAAATCATTGTTGTGTCCATGACAATTTGAAAAATAGGCATAAAGCTTACACATTTACCCCGATTATTATATGCATGTTTAACCGAAGCTAATTTGGGTGGGTTTGTCCCATCCCCAATGTCACTTCTCTTTCTTTTACGGCCCTGACGAGAACATCGATCTCCTCGGCTGTGAACCAATTCTGAAGCGCGCCTGTAATGAGCCGTTATAATAGTTTTGCGCCATGGAACAAGCGCACCTCGTTCATCATGCTCTTAAAGGGAATGTGATATGACCCTCTTATTGGTTTGCTCCCGTTACGCCCAAACCACACCTATGAATAATGAAGCTACTTCAGACCAACCCCTTTTAGATTTGCGCCAGGCGCAAGTCAAGAGGCATTTATCCCGCCGGTAAAATAGCAACAGCGCCGGGATCCGCCCACAAAGTTACTTGCGCTTTGCGCTTTGAAACATGCGTTTCAGATCGTTAAAATAGGGCCCTCTGAGTGTTTGGCATGGTAATGGATGAGAATGTTGATGTTTGGTTTTGACGGATCTGCTTCGCTGATGCTGCTGTTATTGCTGCTGCTGTTGGTTATTGGGATTTGCTACTGCCAATACATACACGACACGCTGCTGTGAGCAAGTAAGACATGCTGCTGCTGTACAATATAGCGTTCATGAATTACCCGTAGCAGATCTATACAGGTGGAGCTGGGGAAGGTGGAGGGTTTCTGAAAGCGCGCTGCAACTGCTAGACAAAATGCTGACCCGTATTTGAAGTTTGAGCAGTGAGCTCATTGGCTACTGATACAGCAGGAAGCTGTGACCTATAGAGAAGATGTGATTGGAAGCAGATTGAGTTAAGGACAGAACTTTGTATTTGTAGGCAGAGTGTTCTATCAAACTCTATATTTGACAGAAGCTAAACAAATTAGACAGATTTCTCAGAGGATGCCATTGTTTTTGTTTACCTTTTACTTTTGTGTTTTACGTTTCATACTGTTTCAGGTCGCCACCTGATGTCCAATGCAAAATATCTGGATCCTGAAGCATTTCCTTCAAAATCTCACAATAGCACAGATGCACAAGGATGTTTTTTCGAAAGCAGTGTTTTTCCAGGAAGGATCTGTGTCATTTGGGTTTTGTCTGTCTTGGAGATACTATCCTGATACCAGCAGAGAAAAACAGTCTCTGTGCTGTCAGTACACCTGTACTTTAAAAAAGTGAACCAATGGTTCATCTAGCTAATGACTTCAGCACACAACATGAGCAGGGTGTGCACAGCATGGGAAAGTGAGGTGGTGCAGAGAGTGTCAATGGGAGCGTGAGAGGGGCTACAGAGCAAGGTGGCCAGATATAGATAAACTGTTATGTCACACAGAGGGGGGTCAGGTGAGCCATGAAGGCCAGAGGCGATAGTTTAAACTAAAGACTGAATTTAAAAGAAAAATCGATCAAAACTTTTCAAAAATAACACAAGCTCTTTGCGGCTCCTTTACACGTAAATCTACTTGTCATCTACTTGTACGAATTGCTCCCACTAATTGTGCAGTTTATTTGCACACACTGTCTGCATTGTGTTAGTGCTTCATTTACTAAAGGAATTATGCAAATCAGCAAACGCACCTGCAAAAACATTATTTGCATGTCAAGCTAAATAGAGCAGACTTGCAAAAGCTAGCATACAATGTTGGAACTGCACAGGTTCGGACACTTGATTCAGCTATTTAAGTGCACAAGTGCACGTCGACAGTGTGGCTGAATAAATGCCCAAATTATAATGGTTTTCTCCATCATCTGATTATCATTTGATGAATTACTGCTGTCATGATCAATTAAAAATGTACTCAAACATCTCTTTTAAATTGAATTCCCACACATGACTGTTAACAGCACAATGCTAGTTCTGCCTGGCAAAAAGAACGGATTTTTGTGAATAAGGCACAATGTATGAGCCTAATTTACATAGAAAGGAGGCTTGTTTGAGCTAAAAAGAGCGAGTTAACTAAATTAAATATTTATTTTTAATTGCATTGTTGAAATAACACAAACAAGTGGCAAACAAATTTAGTCAATCCAGCCCCTGAAATTTACAGAAAACATTTACACCCTATTTTTAAAACAAGGTTACAAAAGTTCTTTCAATTTAGTTGTCATCTACTAGCCATCAACAGGACTGAGAATCTGAGCACGTTTATCCGTATCCTCTAATCCACAGAGAAGAGGGCGTGATGACCGATCTCTGTTTATTCCTCTAATCTCTTTTTGTAGTCAGGTGGTGTTCACACATTGCCAGGCGGCCTACACATGTCCCTATCACAGAGGCCAAAGTGCTTGAGGGCTGGCCATGTGAGGAAGAAAGGGCTGTTTCAGAAAGCCAAGTGTAATTGCATCATGACCTGGTGTGGACAGTAATAAATGTCCAGCGTTGGAGGAGCCTATGAGGCAGGATTTTCTGATTCTTTATGTATTAATTTAAAAATCTGTGATTAATAAAAGCTAAAAAGGCAAAGATATTGAAATGGTCCAACCTATCAGTGAAATAGCTGCCAATATCTTATAATAAAAAGGGAAAAATGTAATAAAATTATACATAATAAGTATTATAATGTATACAATTATAACTATATTAGACTATATATATCATATAGATTATATCTTCTGTGATACTCTTATTCTGCTAGTTTATTTGACAGGGAATACACAATATTAAATATTATTTATATTTACACTACTGTTCAAAGTTTTGGGTTCAGTAAGATTTTTTGTTTTGTTTTGTTTTTGAAAGAAGTATTTTATGCTCACCAAGGCTGCATTTATTTGATTAAAAGTACAGAAATTATTATAACATGTTATCTCGGTGTTCAAGAAACATTTCTTATTATTATCAATGTTGAAAACATTATGCATTCCCAAAAACCAGTGCATTCCCTGGCATCTTGGCATCTACCACCCAGTGTCACTACAGTACAATGTAGTCACTCGAAATTATTTATTATTATTTTTTCAGTCTTTATATTATCTGTAGTGTTGTTACTCTAATGGGTGTTCCAGAAATAGACAGATATGACTTCCAAACACTTACTATAAGGAATAGATAAAACAATTAAGGAAACTGTATCTCCAGATCTGTGTATGTTCCATATTCCAGCGTTGTGTGGTGAATATTATTATTGTTATTGTTCCATCTAATCATAAGACTAACCTTGTCCCAGTGTCTCTCTCGATCCAAAGCAATGATCACCATGGAAGGATTAGTGAGATAGCCATCAGCGTTGAAGGAGAGGTCCTTATGCTCCCATGACACATTTCGCATATGCCTGTAGAACAAATTAGTAGCTTTAAATTAGTAAACCAAAAAGAAAGTCGATTTGAATTTTAAGTGATTGTATAATTGCTTTTTGTATAATTTTTCTCAATCTCTGAAATGAGACAGAAGACTATTAGGCAGAAAGGAGGACATTTCAAATACAATCCTATAATATTTTTCCCCACCGTCAAATGAATATAAATCAGAGAGTACAGACACTAATACATTTACAGTATTCATTCTCTCTCTCTTAATCCTCTTTGTCTCATAGACCTGAACATTTTTACTAAACGAATTGTTCACTTATAGAACCAGCTACTGGTGGAGCAGAACATGAGGCAGGATTTAACACTGTCATTCAATTTTAATGATAAAAAGTGCAGTAGCAGTTATCATTATTCAGACATCATTTCAATAATGGCTAAAATCATGACATGACTATACAACTATAAACAACAAAATCCTCAGAGGAACCCAAATACACCACTCTATATCCATCTTTTCCACCTTCTCTAATATGTATAGCTCCTTTGTAAACAACAAAGCTTATAAAGAACTATTCAATCTCAGTTATGCAAAAGAATGCATTATATTGGACAAATATGCCCAAATATGATTTTAAATTAATTTTATAGCAACAATTTAAATCCTGTTACCATTTATGTACCCTCGTGTCATTTCAAATTACTCTTTATAAAAAAAACCTTCACACAGGCAGTGCAAAGTTCACCTGTCTGAAAATATGAAAAATGACAAAAAAACAAACAAACAAACCATACAAGTAGCCTACACAACAATGCATGACAAACAGATGGAAATTTAAGATTATTCACCAATAATCTTCCTTTCCTGTGAGCTGTTAATTTGACAACTGCTGTGATTTGATCATCGAGTCACTGAGTTGAACTCTGATTTGTGAACGAATCAGTCAGTTTTGTGAACAATTCATTGAAAAGAACAATTCATTCAATGATCCAGTTCTCAAGTTCAACTCACTGTACACAACATGCAATAGTGGTTCTTGAGTTAACTTGCTTTTACTGCCCATTTTTCGTTGTCGGTTTTTGTTGTGTATTGAAAAGAACCACGTGAAGAAGATACATGAAATAACATTAGGGTAAGCAAATATGCAATTTTCATTCCTTCCTCTACCCATCTTTCCATGTCAACTCAGACCATCCTACTAATATAATGTTTTTTTCTCCCCCAAGAGAATACATTCCTTTTTGCCGCCTGATGAATCCTTTGATACTGCCCAACTAGTCACACGTCTGAAAAGCCAGTTCTTTAAAGATTTATAAACTGTCTTCCGACAGACGTTTCTTTTTATGCCAGAGAAACGGGCAGACACATGAACAGCACCGAAGCCTGGGAACATTCCGGATGGAGAACCCAGTCACTCATGTGTCTCTGATACGCTTGATCACAGAAAGCTCGGAGAGGCAATTGGAACACTATTTAATGAGGACGGTGACTCCCAGGTGAATGGCAGATTTAACAAGGAAATCTGGAGAATCTCCCAGTCTCATTACAAGGGAGAAAGACCACAAGAAAAAGTGCAAAAATGCAATGTTTTGTCTGGAAAGCTGTTTATGATGAAATCTCCAGCGGCCAACTAAGCTGTGAAAATTCAAATTGTCAGGACTTTGAGTATTTGTAAATTTGCCACCCACACTTTCCTGTTAAATTTGATGTGATCAACATTTTTGACAAAAAATAGGGCAATGCTGGCCAAGGAAGGACTTAATATATGACAGGTTCATAAAACATTACTGGCAGTCAGAGTACTCCAGATATTCCAAAGGGATGTTTATGATATAGTTTTTCTATTTCTTTTAAGACATGATATTGATGAAGATCAATAAATCACAATAATGAGAGATAATATTATAATATTAAAATAAAGGTCCTAAAAAGAATACACTTTCATCATGAATGTTTCTTAACACAATTAAGTACAAAGTGCCCTTTGTAATAATGTCAAATTAAAAGTTTTACTTTAAAGTACATTTTAAATCATTATGCTTTAATAATCCTTTCTCATGCTTTATAGAAGTGCACGTGTAGATGTGTGGTCTAACATACTAAAACACATGTAAGGTACTTGATAATAATTTGAACAGTAGTTTGTTATTCGATATTACATTTAAAGTTAATACTGTACATTTTAAATGTCAACTTAAACTTCGTTATTAGAAATGTAATTACAAGTATATTTAAATATATAAATGTATTTAAATATACTTGTAATTACATTTCTAATAACGAACTTTAAATTACATTAACATATATTTTAGTTCATAAATGCTTGTCAGTACATTTACTGCTCGGAAGAACAGTTTAACCATATTTCAAAAGAAGTGATTATGAAATTACATATAAAGATGTACTTAAGTCCTCCCTAAGTGGGTCAAAAAAGCACTCTAAGGTTCAGCTAACTGCATTTAATATAAATTTACACAACAATACATTTTCATTTAATAGCAAATAACATTCAATTAAGAGTCCGAAAACATTACATTCTGTTCACACTCAATATTCTGGGGTCATCGGATGCCCATTTTCCACAAGTTGGTATGATTCTTTAGGGTGTTCATGTAAAGTTTGTAATATACTTTGGTTAAAATTCCTCAATGGTTGTGTAAAACAACACCCTTTTTACCTCTTCAAAAACAGCTTTGTTCAGTGACCTGTTTCGGTGCATGTCTCTTTAAATGGAGCAACTGCTCACCCCACCCCTCTCTTCCATAGGGGGTGTCGAATGGCTGAGGAATATGCTAATACGGAACAGTCCGTCAGTGGTCGTGGGCGGAGCATGAGCACTATGACATCATAGTGCTCAGAAAATCCAAACCGCCTGATTATTGAGAGTGTTCAGACTTTTTGAGGATTAAAAAAAGGAGTGAATGGATTTTTTTCATGGTGGTTGTGTCCACACACTGCAAAGACACATTTGAATGCAAACACCATATAAAAGTGAATTTTGCATCCGATGACCCCTTTAAAGTATACTAATTCTGTACTATGTTCTCTTTTTAAAAGTATGCTAAAGTGTACTTATTTTTCACAAGGGAAGACATGGGTTTTAAATCCTTTAAAAAAAAAAAAACAATCTGAAGGTGCTTTTCAAAAATACCTTTACTAAACTTGGCAGTCTGAAAAAGTCTTACCTGAAGAGAGAATTGTTGGCATTCAATTTGGCAGGACTATTGCAGTCACTGTGACCCTCAGGAATAAATCCTCTGTGCTTGTGGAAACTGTACACCCCTTTTACAATGACTGCCACTCCTTCCCGAACCCTCTGGCGCAGTGTTTTCCTCCAGCGGTCTGTGATAATACTGATGACGCCCACTGGGAAACTGTCAGGAGGGGACGCTTCAGGGTTCCCCACAGCCAGACTGGGGATGACCCAGATGTATCCAGGCCCCAGAAGCCCCACATCAGAGGCCATCCTGAACAAGTACTGCGCCTCCTCGTGGGAACAGTACACTAGATATACCTGCGAGTCCACCTGCTGTAGTAGCCTACGTGTGCGGATGTCATTGGCCCCCACGGACATCTCGAAGCTCAGCACATCCTGCAGCTCCCACAGGAAGTAGCTGGTGTCCGTGAAGGAGCGAATGTAGTCCACGAAGGTCTCGTAGCCGGGATACAAACTGGTGATCACCACAAAGTTACCCCAGTTGTACTCCTCCATCACTTTGAACATTGCATTTATTTGCTGCTCTATAGAAGATCCCATCTGGAGAAAGGTAGAGCCTTCAGCCTGCAGAATCAAGACAGAAGATAAAGGAACTACAATCATTTGTGTGGGTACCATAAAATTATTACTTAAGGACACTAAGACGTTTTAAGAGATATATGCAATCATTCCAAGGAATGGACCTACCAAAATAACCAAACCTGAAGATATGTTACAATTAACATGCTAATAACTGAGGGAAAATTGTAAAACTATACATTCATTGACCCTCAACACTGGCACGCCACAGGGAAGCGCATTGAGCCCTGTGCTGTATTCCTTGTTTACACATGATTGTGTGGCCGTTCACAGCTCCAATACCATTATAAAGTTTGCTGACGATACCACCATTGTGGGTCTGATCACCAACAATGACGAGGCAGCCTACAGAGAAGAGGTGAGACTTTTGGGACAATGGTGCCAGAACAACAACCTGTCTCTCAATGTCAGTACAACTAAGATGCTGGTGATCTACTTTAGGAAGCAGAATAAGGTACACACACCCATTTATTTCAGAGGGGACAAAGCAGAGAGAGTCAACAGCATTAGATTCTTAGGGGTCACCCTCACTTCTAAACTCACATGGACTGAGTACACAGCATCCATCATTAAAAAGGCTCATCAATGCCTTTATTTCCCTAGGCGTCTGAAAAAAGCTTTTTTCACTTTTCTGTCCTTACATGGTGTATTGCATCCAGGTATGGCAGCTGCTCCACACAGGAAAGGAAAGCCCTACAAAGGGTTGCTAAAAAGACTCCCAGCAGTTGAGGACGTCTACATTACACGCTGCCTCATGAACGACTAGTCACCTGCCACAGGCACTTTTCTCTTTTCTGCCCTCTGGCAAACGGCTCAGGACTATTCGAACATGCACTACAAGATTCAGGAATAGTTTCTACCCCAATGCCATAAAACTGTTCAACGCACACTAATGTTTAACACTTATGTTAGTGTTAGGTACACTTCATAATGTCAAAATGTCCCTTTTTTCACTTTATTTCACATTGAGATCATTTATTGTTGTACTTAATCTTGTCACTGCAAAAATCTTATTGCATAGCAATTATTTTGTAATGTCTGTGTACTGTAAGTATATTTTTGTGTTCATGGCAGTTAGGTTTATTGTATTTTGGAGTAGCTTTCGAGTAAGTTTTTCATTGTACTTGGTAACTTGTACACATGACAAAAAATTACTTATTTGAATTACTTAAATTAGTAATTGAAACATTTTGGCAGTGTTATGGAAGAATTAAAATAGCAACTTGCCTTTAGCTCTTGTCTACTGACCTGCCATTAGCTCAGCAGTTTCCAAAGTTTCCTTTTTCTAACAGTAGGGGTTTTCAAACAAGTGTTTTTTCTATTCACATTATACTGCTTTAAGCTTTTAATACATCCTCTCTCAAATATATATCGTTGGAAAGTTTGATTCATTACTGTGATTCATTTTGAACTAACTGATTTTATAAGGAATCAGACTTTCCAAAATAGAGAGGACGTTTTAAGGTCAAATTTTAAACTAATTCAGTCAGTTCAAAAAGAAACGATTCACCATTTTAAGTCTCTGCAAGAGCTGTTGAGCCAGACAAACATGGTTGTGATTGATTTATAAATTAAATATTATATATAATATACTTTATATATTTTACAAGGTATTTTTTAAATCTCTCAATGTAGTTAGCAACTTTTTGTTAGTTACTTGTAGTGTAACTAACTACTATTTCAAAAGGCTAGCTTAACTACTTTAAATTATGAGCGATTTAAAAGTAGTGACACAAGCTACACTTTCAAAGTAGCTACCCAACACTGCATTCTGAATATGACACTGAAGATTGGAATAATGGCTTACTTCTTCCCAACCCCCCCCCCCCCCCCTTTTTGTCACCCCAAAACATTCATTGGTCAATGTTTAAAATTGACCAATGAATGAGCTTCTGATGGGAACCATAACTCACACTGCACTATAATTGTTCTGCATTTCAGTTTTACAGGTTGCACACATATACAGGAGATCCATAGTAACTCAATCATGGTACATGGGACTTTCTCATACCATTGAAATAACATGTATTACTGAGCAACATTAACCTTGAACACGTTCCAAAGTATGAGATACGAGAATTGGATTTACAACGCAAAGACAATTCACTAGACTATTGATCCTATCTGTACCACAGCCACGCGTAGGGACTTGATTTATTGCCTGACTTTCAACCATTATTCCTCTTTCTGTAATCCTATTGAATAGATTTACACTTGACACCTAATACTCGTTTATCCATGCAGCTGTTCAATATAATCCCGGTGTGATGTGCTGTTTGAAAAAAAAAATTCGCAATATTATATTTGCATGTAAAAATGTGTGAATAATAACACTTAGCGTCAATATCAAGCCACAGTTGTGCATGTAAAAAATCCAAAATGATCTATTAGTGCTGTTTTAATTTCACTTGCACTTAGTTAACTTCAAACAAGCAAGCGTCCTAATGCCCTACACTGCCAAACGCATTTCCTTCCACCGCACAGCATGAGATGACTCAAAGGTACCGGAGGAGGTGGTGTCCAATTAAGTTCCAAAGTGAGAAAAATGGGTGTGGAGGTCTGGGAGTGTCAGGAGCCGAGAGACATTTTCCCAAGACTCCTCTCTGACTAAGAGCTTTCCCCTTACCTGACAGACTGATCCGGTGTCCTTCAAATAACTTCTGTGGTTAAAGTAGGCTACCTCTTGGAGAGAGAGAGGTCAGGTGCTCTGGGACTCACTGGTCCTCCTCCTCCGCCAGTTTTCTTTCTTTAAGAAGTTATACAATCACCCAGACTCAGCTCTCCTGCGATTAGCACTCAAGAGCCTCAGCAAGACCAGTTGGAAGTTATGCCATAGCAGTCAAAACACGTCTGAAAAAACTTGCATTCGCAGAAAAATGGGATTATCCCTCAAGGACTTTCCCTATATGTGCACTTTGGGCATGAACTTAGTCCCATGAGTTTCGATAGGTGCCATGCACCCTCAGTCACTTATTCAGACATGACATTAAACCAGGCATTCTTAACTCTGGCCCTCAAGGTCCACTTTACTGCAGAGTTTTGCTCCAACCCTAATCAAACACACCTGAACATGCTAATCAAGGTTTTTAGGATTTCTAGAAAGCAAAGGTGATTTAAGGCAAGCCTCCATGTTTAGAAAAATATTTTAACTTTTTTTTTTTTTTTTATGAATGTTAATGGAGGAGAGGCTTACACTGAATACACTGCTTTTGTAGGAATACAGCTTAGAATTTAATGAATCGACAACCTGTCAGCTAATCTCCGACATGTTTGCCATTCAACATTCATTTACCAAAAATAATTGTTGTTTTATAAGAGAAGTCACAGAGATTTTTTGATTTTCTCACCCTCTTTCTTTCCAAACATGTTTGACTATCTTCCGTAAAACACAGAAGACAATATTCTGAATAATGTTTTTTATCCTTACAATGAAAGTCAATTCTTCAAAAGTCAACATTCTTCCAAATATATTCTATAGTGTTCTCCAGAAGAAAGAAAGTCCTACAGGTTTGGAACAAGTAAATGATGACAAATGTATCAATTTTGGCTGACCTAACCCTTTAAAATATATAATAATATTTAATATTTCCTGGAATTTTTATTGTTAAGTAAATTAATACGGTACATTAAATTTCAGGCCATGTTCTTTTAATTTTCATACAGGCTTTATCTAATGTCTGGAGCTGGCACCCACTTACCAAAAAGGGAAGCTCCACCCAGATTGTAACATCAAGTGCCAAAGTGATATTTTAAGCTCACTTTATTTATTTGGAAGGCACTTGGCCATTGATAGTGTCCGATGCTACTGGGATTTCATGAAAAAATCCCATAGCAGATGTTTGTGACCCACAGTCCAATCCCTAAAGCTAGACTAAATAATCAGCCACAGCTTATTCAATTGCATGGGATTTACATGTGCAACATACAATGGTATTGTCTTGCTATAACATGACCAGATTCGAACAAAGTAGAACAGGATGTCGCATATCTCTGCCTCCGCCCACCGCAAGCCTATACAACAGGAAATTTATAATCGCATCAAATTTATGATATGATATGCACGCATTTCTCAAAGGAGATTAAATGCCTAATCCACAATCTGGAAATGAGGTATGAAATATGGTTCATCATAGCTTTATGCAAATATTTCTTTGTGGCAATTTTTCTAATTTGATTGATATTTTATATGTTGAACCCTTACTATGAAGTCTATTCCTGAAGTCAGTGTGCTGTCCGAAATATTACAACTTTATTACATGAATGAGAATTGGAAATTATAAATATGAAGGATGCAAGGGATTCTTTTCAGGTTTTCCCTCAGTGCTCTTTAATAAAAATAGGAACATGGTCATTGGGCTGTTCAAAAGATTTGGCAAATTATTCAGGTTCTTCATATTTCTTGGTCTATGGTTAAAGTCCTGAAAAATTATTCCCTGCCAGGATGCTTCATTTTAATCCAGTTCTTACAAAATTATCTGACATTGGAGACAAAACGCATATTTTTGGCTTTCTGTTCCACTTTAAACATCTTATCAATCTTATTTTTCTGCAATCCGTGCAAGTCTGAAAGGCATTTGAAAATGACAGCTGGGCAGGAAGGAGTCATCCACTCTATAGCTGGTATTGAAGATACTCATCTGTCCCATTAAATCAAGGGCTATTGTGTTTCTCATTTAAAGATATACATCTTTTGCCAGTCTGAATGCGTAATGATTGTTTTACTGTCTTAAAAGTTTACTTTTTTCTTTTGTGGATTTCAGATATCAGATGCTGCAAAATCCACACCGCATGCACTAATAGAGAAAAAGCGACACAACTGCACAAGCCTTTTGTAATGTTTGATCAAATTAAAGGATTGGTTAGGCCAAAAATGGACATTGTCATCATTTACCCTCATGTTGTTTCAAACTTTTATGAGTTGTGGTGATGAAGGTTTTTCAAAAGTTAAATCCAAAGAATATATGTGACCTTGGAGACTGCATTGTGTTTTTTCCAATAGACAAGACAGTCATCTGTACTTCATTTAAACAAAGTTTAAGCTGCCACGAGACACAAAATGCCTTCACTACATGTAAAATTACAGTCATGAAAGTCTTATACGCAGTTGCCTTAAAAATGGGCATTGAACAGCTGTAATTTTATATCATTTTTTGATGTAATTCAGAAGTTTCCACACCTCAGTAAACAGTGGAAAATAGGACACAACTGTTGGGTGCTGGTTATACATCATAACACATATTGATTTTCACACCTCACAAAATCACTTTTCCACGCATCTGTTCAATAGCATATCAGTACAGGGGGATAGCTGGAAAATACACACACAAACCACATGCACATGCTAACGTTTGTCGACCTCACAGCAGTTATTTTATACTCGCTGTGTCTAATAAGAGCTGTGAGAACAGCGTCCCTGAAATTACTTCACAGATACCCCTGATTAAATCTTGATTTGATATTTGAAATACATTTTTTAATGTTTTTCTTTCAAGCTGAGTCTTACTGTACTCTGAGTAAAGCACAGGGGACTTACATTGTCATAATTCTAATACATTTACTGTTTATGTTCATGAATGAAGGCTAATGTTATTGAAACTTAAGTGGTATGCTGGCCACACATTGAACCTAATTCATGAAACATAATCAAAATGTTGTTTTGTATGCATGATTACTGCATTTAATTACATTTTCATTACGATTTTCTGTGTAACAAACACATTTAGGTGTAAATCATTACATTTTTGTGGGTGAATTGGTGTAATTCAGTTACAATTAAAAAATTTTTTGGTGCATAAACTGTCGGAATGCAACAACAAATGATTCCGTTTTACAAATGATTCACATAGAAATGTGTTTGTCACAAAGCAATTATTTGTAAACACTTTCTGATGAAAGTTGTTGTATTCATTTCAATGTGAAAATTTATATACAAAAAGTTTTACAAACAATTTACACAGACATTACTTGTAAAATTTAATTGAGGCCGAAAAGTTTTATGAATGATTTTCTGTGAAGTAATTTTCCATCGCATTAAATTTAATGTGACCATTTTGAATGTTTTACGTTTAAAAAGCTTAATGAATAATTTGTACAGATATTTGTTCTGCTTGTGTTTCATAAATGTGACCCAATGAATACACTTTTCTGTAGTTGGTTAAATAAAAATGGGGAAAAACTTAATTAAAATGTAATTTTAGGTTATCCAAATGTTCTTTATAGTTGCAAGGACAATCCTTTCGTAGTAACTTAAATATTGATTGGATTGTGATCTCAGGTAATTCCCATTTCTTATTAAACCTTCTTCCTTAGCTGACAGATCCCTAAGATCTACGTGCTGCCACCTTTTCAAACACTTACTTTATGTGGGATGACAACTGCAGAACCTCCACTGATGCCTACTATGGGAATGGACGTCTGAGAGGAGATAAAGTCTAAGATTTGTGCCACAGCTTCTGAGTCCACGTCATCTTCAAACACCACTCCGTGGAGGCTCTCTGCTGCCATAGTCTGACAGAGACGTGTGAGTAATGCCCTGGGGTTAGTGTCATTCACAAGCACGGTGATGGGGTTCACTTCCAGGGGCATGTCTAGGAAGTTTTCTGGACTCAGACGGCCCTTGATCTCACTGTGGTGGGCCATACCACTGAAAACCACAGCCACGTTGACCGAAGGAGGGCCAAAGAATGGACGTCCCAGACAGGGAGGCACTACATTGAGTAACAGATGAAAGAAGAAGAGGAGTTGAAGAGAGGGACCCCAGCACCCTTGAGGAGTGGCCATTTCAGCCTCCTAGAGCCTGAGAGACAGACAGAGATAAAGAAAGAGAGCAAACACTTAGCATTTCAGAATTGTTACTTGTTTGCCAGTTTATAAAATGTCAGACTTGTATTCTCTCTAAGTGTGTATGATTTATTTATAAGTATATATATATATATATATATATATATATATATCACAGTTTCCTCAAAAATATTAAGGAGCACAACTGTTGAATCACAGTGTACATTTACATTTTTATAAGGGGAGACAGCAGTGATAATTCAGCAATATTGATTTTTGTACGTTCATCGTGAGATGAAAATAGGACACTGTTGTAAAGTGCATTGTTGTGGAGATGAGTGACAAATAAAAAATACTGCTTCAGAAATCTATATTATGCTCACACAAATAATATCCTACAAGTGCCATCCACACAAAATCCAAACTTAATAATTATACAAACAAAAAAATGTTTTGTTGTTAAAAAGGAACTGTATGTGTAAACACAGTACCTACACTTAAAGGGTTAGTTCACCCAAAAATGAAAACTATCCCATAATTTACTCACCCTCAAGCCATCCTAGGTGTAAAATGACTTTCTTCTTTCAGCCAAACATAATCAGAGTTATATTAAGAAATATCCTGGCTCTTCCACGCTTTATAATGGGAGTAAATAGTAACTGAGATTTTGAAGCCCAAAAACGTGCATCCATCCATCATAAAAGTAATCCATACGGCTCCAGGGGGTTAATAGAGGCCTTCTGAATCGAAGTGATGCGGTTTTGTAAGAAAAATATCCATAATTATAACTTTATAAACTGTAATCACTAGCTTCCGGTAATGTCCGTCCGCGAGTTCACGAGAGAGTGAGTTCTTCAAAATCTCAGTTACTATGCACTCTCATTATAAAGCTTGGAAGAGCCAGGATTTTTTTTAGATATAACTCCGATTATGTTTGGCTGCAACAAGAAAGTCATATACGGTGGCTTGAGGGTGAGAAAATTATGGAATAATTTTCATTTTCAGGTGAACGTCTCAGGTTACAAATGTAACCTTTGTTCCCTGAGAACAGGGAACGAGACAATACGTCATCGACGTTATCGGGAACGCCTCAGGCTTGACAGGTGTCTGAAATCACTATCAAATCACTTCAATCACATTGACCGGCGACAGCCCGTGAATCATTAGCGTGAATGATTAACGTGCGACCTGGAAGTATATAAGGGCGCCTTGCAAACATGACAAATCACCTTATCGTCTGAAGGGACTGTACGGCAGGCAAGCCCCGAGGCATGGCAGGGAGACGTATTGTCTCGTTCCCTGTTCTCAGGGAACAAAGGTTACATTTGTAACCTGAGACGTTCCCTTTCGAAGGGAACTCAACAATACGTCATCGACGTTATGGGGAACGATATACCCACGCCGCCATGCTGAGGGGAGTGCATGCCCTCAGGCAGTGACAACTGTCAGAACTAGCAATTTCAAATGAAACGCTAGAACCACTCACCGTCAGGTCATACTGGGCTGTCAGTGACAGCATTCCCTACGGTCATAGCCTAAGCTATAAGCCACACAGGAAAACCTCCATAAACATAGTTAAATGAAAGGACTACCTGGGCCTGCTCAAAGGCCTAGGACCACAACTTCAATTAGAAGGGGTCCCTTCTAGGGAATGTGGCTAGGGAACCCGAAGGAACCCCAGCCAGTCACTATTCAGGGGAACATACTCACCCCGAAGTGCCACCAGGACGGCCTGACCTGGCGTCAGAGCATAGACACTTAGTCTGGCCACTTCCTGTCTGTCCGAAGACAGAGCCTCTGGACACTTGCCTTAAGTAAGGCATCCAACCCGAGGGACTGCGAAGCTGGCAGTGAACCACTCGGCCCGGATCTCAGAGACGGGATATCCCGGAGAGTATGACTCAGCAAGTGCTTTCCAACCCTTACCAGCGAGGGGAGTTTCTCTACTCGATCCATGGATCTACCCAGTGCTTGTGTTACAAACACTGAGGAGGCCTTTGAAGGCCTAAGGGCTGATCTAACTGGGAGGCCTCACGAGAGGTCTACGACCGTCTGACCAGACTCAGGAGTCCGCGTGCTCACAGCGACCCTCAATGAGGGGAGCATATGGTCCCCCTGGTAGGCAAAACCAGGCTGTAGGCAGGAAAGAGGTTCCGAGAGGGAACCAGTAGCAGAGAATGAACACTTTAGTTGAGCCAGGGCGCAAGCTCGCCTTCAGCAGCTGCCTGATAAGGCCAGCTGAAATGATAGCAAGAGGCCACTAGCTTCCTGAACCCAGCACCGCTAGGGAACCACTCACAAGGAGGCCTGGTGAGGCCTACTACCTGATAGCAACAGTATGTGGTCACCTACAGGGAGGCCTAGAGAGGCCTACTACCCGATAACGATAGTACGTGGGGAACTCACCCTCAGGGAGGCCTGGTGAGGCCTACTACCTGACAGCCATAATATCTGGGAGCTTTTTCTGCTACCCGATAGAAAGTCAGGCTAGCTGTCCAGTTGTCTGTCCTTGGGCTTGTCTCCAGGGAGGCCTGGTGAGGCCTACTACCTGATAGCCAATGTAGGTGGGGATTCGCCTTCAGGGAGGCCGGGTGAGGCCTACTACCTGATAACCATCTTAAGTGGGAATTCACCTTCAGGGAGGCCTGAGGGGCCTACTACCTGATAGCAACTGGTAGCTGAGTCCGGGTGACAGTTCCAAGGCGGCCTGCTAAGGCCAGCCAGCTGCAGCCCTTTTAATCACATTGCCCATGGCAGTGTACTCAGCATAGAGAGCTAATACCCTTAGAACAAGGGGAGTACAACATACGCCACTCTGCCTCAGTGGAGGCCCCAGTTAGTCAGGGGCCTACCATCTATGCATGGGCGTCAGCACAGGGCAATGCTCTGGCTTCAGGGGCGCGAACTTCGACCAAAGAAGAAGTGAAGGCTTACTTCATACTCGACCCGAGCCATAGTAGTGCGAGGTAGGATAAAAACAGAACTGGGAGTGAAGTGCTCAGACCTACCCTGAATCACAGGGGAATACTCACACCTCACCCTGAGTTTACCAGGGTGCGGGCCTGCCAGCGGCTCTGGGGGTAACAGAAAAACATCTGTGCCCAACCTAGGGGAGTGGGGCTTGAATGAAAGCCAACCACCTACAACCCACAGCCTGAGCAGTAGCTCAGCAAGGTATTAGTGAAGCCTACACTGGCGGCCTAAATCCGTAGGCCAGTTCTGCACGGCAGGGTCGGGCAGGAGACTCAGTCTTCTTCGTGAAGCGAAAGACGGCCTAACCCTGCTCAAAAGGACTTATATACCACGGAGGCCTAACTGAGGCCTACCATGTCCTTATAAACCATCCTCTGCACCACGCTGCATTACTCTAGTCACCCCAGAATGCAGAGAAGGGGGCGGGCCTTGGCCTAACGACTCCCATGGGAGGAGGCTGATTATACAGGGATGCCAAAAACCTACATTCACAAAGTGAAGGGTCAGAGGAAGAAATGCTAATTTTAGCAGAACGCCTCTAATATCTCTGGCACAGCCTAGGCCAGCTACAGAGGCGGCCCTGGTGAGGGCCAACCTGTAAGCATAGATCTATCTGAGGGCTCAGAGGAGCCACAGCCTACTAAAGAATATAGTCTGTATTATTCCATACAAAGGGCTGCAGAACGCTCAACCTAATGAAAACTCAACAGAGCTCAAGGGGCGAAATACTCAGAAAAGTCAAAACGGTCCCATGGGCCGGACATAAGATCTATCTGAAGCTCTAGCGTCAGTCAACACTCTAAGTAAAACATACTATCAGAGAGAGACCAACTACTCTACCCTGAGGTGGCTAACAGCCCAAAGGCTAACATAGTTATCGTTCAGGCCACCTAACGGGGAACTTCAGGGCCCTAATAATCCAATAAAGTTACCTTACCTTTATTACCTTGACATGACCCCATAACTCTTTATACAGGGAACGAGGTCTGTAAAGAAAAATATGTTATTTTTTATCACAAAAAATATACTCCTTGAAAAGACCAGCAGCTCACCTGCGGCGTGCAAAGTGAAGACTCGCCAGAAGTTCTATACGAACCTGGGAACCGCCACTTTACATGCCTGAAAGGGGCGTTTCCACCAACCAGGCCCGGGTGGGCCATCAGAACATAGTTCTCATCATAGGCCCATCCCCAGGCCTGATGTAATGAACGCCTGGGGGTCAGAAGAGAGAGGGCAGAATGTCGTGACCCTCCGGGGAGGTTATCCATTACCGACGCCGTGAGCGTTTGTTCTGGATAACCTCCCTCAAATCTCTTCTGTGGCGGGAGTCACGCCTCCTCTGCGACCTGCTCCTTGAGGGAGGGGGCGCACGAGAGGCGACACTGGCTCGCTGGCCCTGCCTACGGTCCTCAGACTGTGAAGGGCCAGGCCAGGCTCGGAGGCCTGGGTGCGGACGCGGATCTCAGCGGTATACATGTTTTAAATGCTGCTGAGCGCGCCTTCGCCTCCCTGAACTTCCCCACCACCGCTTCTACAGAGGTGCCAAAGAGTTCGGAAGGCGAAACTGGTGAATCGAGGAGAAAGGTTTTTTCTTTCTCCCCGATGCCAGCTAGATTTAGCCACAGATGCCTCTCCGTGGCCACCATCGCCGCCATCGACCGACCGATCGCGGCAGCGGTTTGCTTGGTAGCCCGGAGAGCCAGATCTGTGGTGCGGCGCAGCTCAGCCACCGCCTCAGGGGACAACCCTGCCCCCTGGTCGAGATCCCTCAGCAGGTCGGCCTGGTACGCCTGTAACACCGCCATGGTATGAAGTGCAGCACCGGCCTGACCTGCTGCCGTGTATGCTCTGCCATTCAAACGAGCCGTTGTTTTCAGCGGTTTGGATGGCAGGGTTGGAGCTTTTAGTGTCGCTGCCCGCCCAGACACGAGATAGTTCGCGAACGTCTCGTCAATGGGCGGCATTGACACATACCCATGCTCTCCGATCCCCTCAACATCAGCGAAACTGGCCCGCTGATGTTGGTGAATACGTGCAGAGTAT